CAATATATACCACTGATAAATTTATTATTTGATAAGTTTCTTAGTGAGCAGGTGAGCGAGCTACCTGTGAAGGTTGTTGTTCTGACTCTTGATTTCTTTCATGCTTTTGTTTTAATTCTAATAATCACATCTGTTACAATGAATCATTGTGTCAAACTTAGCTGTGTCAGATATTTTGATCGATCAAATGGTATACGTTAGGTAGTCACTTAAGGGGTCAACTGACAACCTGGGCTACAAAAGGACGCTAATCAGGCGCTTTATAAATTAATAGCTTACCATTGTGCTTACTCAACTACGGATCAAGTTGTATTTTCAATACAATCACCAAGTGTTATACTCAACTTTTATGCTAAGTAACTCTTCAAGTTAAAAGGCCAACATATATGTTTTAACCAATTGAATGTTTTCTTAGAGAGTTGCACTCATACACAAATCAATATTAAAAGTGGACATTTTAGTCAATGATAGTGTTTTTAATTAGATCTTCAAACTTTAATCAAATTTACATAGGCTTATATGTAAAAATTTAACCAATGACAGTGAGTTTGTGGATCAAAAATGATAATAAACTGAGACAGTTTGCTGGATCTTGTCTAGCAGTGGAATCCAGTATGCTCATTTCCTTCTATTCGGGATTCATCATCTGGATATGCCTGAGTTTCTCAGTGACTGGTGGTTTTCCCACTGAGTACTCATTGTTTAAAACGCTGAAGAGTTATCAACTAGACCACTTGGGCCACGAAAGTCACTTCTGATGCAACCCGTTTCAGTTGTTATTCATTTTTAATTCAATTTTGATTTTCTTGTGGATTGAGTGGACGGAAATATTCAGCATCTCTTAGCATGCCGGTCCCCATTACAGACGCTTCGATGATTTCTGAGGGTTATCTTGGAGTAATTTGGTGGATGGTGATTAGCACTGGAATCTTGAATATGTATTTCGTCCTATTTGGCAGTCGTCTTTCGGACGTACGTACATTCCCCAATGAGTGATAATGTTCTCATAGAAAGATTCGATGGAATGCGATAGATCACCTTGAAGGCACTTCCTCTGCTCTTTATAAATAGCTGAATATATGAGAATTTAAGAGAACAATCCTAGTGTTTGCATACCTTTGTCTCTCCCCTGACTTAGCTGAAAAACTTCCCTTGCTTCATTTTTTCCATTCCCTTTGTACTTTTAGCATACTGATTTGATCTCTGGTTATCTATCCATTTCATCTTTAGTATTACGTAACTTTTTGATCCCCGGCCGACGCACTCCTTTACCTCGCTAAGCCAGAAAAAATGCTGGTAAAGGGAGAAGAGTGGGCATGAGGCTAGCAACCCCATCCTGTAAAAATAAACACTGCTACAGAAACTTCAAGTAACTAGCTTGAAGCCGTATGTTCCACTGGGAAACGTGAAAGAAAAAAATTTTTGAAGATTACAGCAAATTTGTTTACCGAATTGTTTACGTAAACATACTGTGGTGAGAGCTGTCTGTAAGCCAAAATTGTAGACAACAGTTGACGTCAATGTTTACATCCCAAATCGGGGTCATGGGAAAAAACAATAATGAAAACAAAACACGTAGTTCAGAGAAGAGTCTCTTTTCAGCGGCGAATTCATTTTCTTAGCTGTAGAATCGCAAATATATATGTGTTATTTTTTATGTATGTATATATTAAGTTTGTCAAACAAAAATACAATTGGTTGTGGTTATTTTAAATAAACAGGTGAAGGTTGGTAATTAGTGTTACGTAATACAAAATTGGTCAAGAAAATTTGGTGTCAATGAAATTAGAGTAGTAACAGAGGTGATGAGACGTCAAAAACAGTTGTTAAAAAGAAGTTGTGTAATAATATGAATAGTTTGGTGGTCGAAGCGCTCAACAACCTATCACAGCACACTTAGCGTGTGCAAATACGATTCGCAGATACATGGCCTAACTTCCTACGAAATGGCCACAAAGAGATGACAGAATAACCTTCAGCAGGAAAACAACCAATCAGAAGACACTGCTTCACTGACAATAATAATGAATAATAATGTACATAAAAATCTATAAATACCCGTTGATTTTCTGAATAAACAATCTGTTGCCTGGTTCTTGTCTTCTGTCGTTACAATACTACGGTCGTTATTCTTATCGCCACCAGTGACTACTTCGTGCATACTTCTGTTATCATTGGTTTTATTATTATTATTTTTGCTATCATTATTGTCAACACTACTGATGTTCAAACATATCCAGTACTTATTATCATTATTTTTAATCCGCAAACTCACTGTGATTGGTTAAATTTTTTATATATAAGGCTATGTATATTAAAGTAAAGCCTTGAGGTCTAATTGACAACAATACTGTTCGCTGATATATCCTGTTTTAATTTTAACAATGAGAATATTTAAAGCTTTGAGAACAATATCAAACTTCACATTATTATTATTTCCAATTGATAATCTTGAACAAAGCAGGTGCTTTTAAACAGTTTCATTGTCGTGACATTTCTTCACATAATTACAGGAAACTTAAATAAGACGTATCCGCTTTCACTATTTCGTAAACTGATTTACACCAAGTCCAGTAACGACATAAACAATCTTTTTGTGTATTGCAATGATCTGATAGTCTGTTTAAAATCCTGGACTACTGACAACCTGCATCATCATATTGCATACAATTTCTCTTATTGAGTTTGCTTTTGATGGTGTACTCTCGCGGGTATTTAAAATATCTGCAACCTGCTAATCCGGAAGTTTCTACCAAACTTTAGGAAAAGCAAAGTTGTTGGTAGCAACTTATCCCAATATATTAGAGATAACTAATCATGAATAAACCCCAATCAGGCATTAATGAAAACAAAACACGTAGTAGTAGACCAGCGAAGACTCTTTTTCGGCGATTTCACCTACTCAGCTGTACAATCGCAATTATGCATACTTATTGTTGTATGTGTGTGTACATTAGGTTTCTCCGATAAGAATAAAAATTAGTTAGTGTTATTGTTGTCAAGACATTTCAAAAATGCGATAAGTAATCAAATTGTAACTTTGAGGTGGAGTGGGGAATGAAGATTGGTAGGAAGGTAGTGGTGATACGTTGTCAAAGAACATAGTAAATAATTTTAATGAGATCATAAAAGAATTTTAATAAGCATAATACACTTACGTAATAAGATAAGATAACTGTGTTAGATGGTTGGAGGCAATCGGCCACAGGAAACCTTGAACCCAAGGTTTCCTGTTAGTTGGCACTCATCAGTCAGCAAGGCGTATCTGCAACCTTGAGGGAACTCGTGTCCCTTCTGAGATTCAAACCCGCGTCAGCCAGTGCTGCAGTCAGAGACGTCACCGCTGAGCTATTCGGAGCTATTCTGTAGGACTGTATTGGATATTTTTGATTTGACACTAGTCAGTAACCAGTGTAATATGTTTAGTCCTATCTTTGGTGCAGACTGAATTCCATCAGTCAAGCTGGCAATGTGGCCACCATGCTAGGCGGCCACTGCCTTAAAAATGAAACTAACTTTTTGTAATCTTCAGTTGTTCACTTATGTCTTTGAGTCTCAAATTCTATTCCTGACCTTATTTTAATTGGCTTTCAACCAAACGTCATGCATTTCTCAAGGGAGACAAAAACAGACTCATCTTCTCAACTTCGTGCCTTTGAAATACAAACGCAATCTAATAAAGTGCTTGGTTCACAGAGCAAGAGCAATTCGCTCGGACGAATGTCATGATGAGGAACTTAATAATATTAAACGGCTGCTAAGTGAAAATGGTTATCCTGAAAAGTTTATTGATAAGAATATAAATCTAATTCAAGTCAGCCCAAGGTACCAACAATTCCTAAAAGGGCCTTATTTTTACAAAGGCAGTTCCTTGGGGACAACATCAGAGAGATACTAACACAATACCTTAGAAATGTGTTAAAAAGAGCATTTCCTGCTGCCAAATTACGCTGTGTCTTCAAAATCACCCATATTTCGCGTTTGGTAGTAAAAGATAAACTGCCTAATTTCGCCTCGTCCATGTGTGTGTATCTACCAATTTAACTGCTCCTGTGGAGCCAGTTACTTGCATAGGCCGTACACTGAGGTGTGTTTCTCATCGGATTTCTGAGAATTGCCCTACTGGTTAAGAAAAGGACAAACAAAATCCATTCATGGCACTATTCTGTCTCATCTTGGGGATACAGGACTCAGGATTGACGTTAACCATGCTTTCAGGGTCATTTACCGCATACCTACGAATCTCAATTTTGCCTTAAGATTTCGACTACTAAATATTGTTGAGGCTGTGGAGATCCATATTAACAAGACTAATTTATGCATCCTAAAGAAGTTAGTTCAGACATTATCATTACCTTGACCATCTAGGTTTGAATGATCATGAATTTTTGTGGAAATTTCTTAATTTTAGTTGATATTCTATTCGCTACTATATCTTTATTAATATTATTGTTTAAGCATCTTTAATGAACTGTAATTCCACTATGATCTTACTTAACAAATCGATATTATTTGAAAAACACTGGTATTGTTAATGACTACTATTCTCGAATATTCTATATATATATAAACATGTATATAATTGTAGAGCGAGAAGAGGAATTTATCGAAAAGAATATTCTTTGCTAGATTATTTTGTGTTTTATCGATGTCTGAATGAATATTTTTGCTAGATAGCATTGTGTCACGCAATCTTTTATCAATTACTAATCTACTTCAAGATCCTTAACAAAGAGAAATCAGTATACAATAAATTCTGCACATTATATAAACATCATTCAGAATAAAGTGATAGTTGTTATTACTACTTCATGCATAAAAACAATTATAAAATGCATTCGTTCATAAAGCATTGAACAGGTGATACACGTGACTGATAACCTTGAGTTTATCGATAGGCATCACACTCATATTAGTTATATTTTCAAAATTCACTAGATCAATATCACTTGTTATTTATGGTGATTATTACTATAATTATTTATCTAGTCTAATCAAAAATGGATGGATATTCACAACCATGTAAACTACGTACTAATGGCAGAGAAATGATTCGAATTAATGGAGTATATATGTATATTATAAATGAATGTGGTCAAGTTGGTGCAATGCTAGGATTTCATCCGATGGTGATTGTAATGTATGAAGATACAGCTGATTTAGAACCAGTTAAAGGATATTTGCGTGTTGGAAGATGGATATATCCATTAGCGCGTTCATTTTCCCCGATTTATATTTGGGGACCTGGTAATATGATTATGCCTGAACCATTTTCACAATTAACTAAACCAGTATACATTGTGATTCGACTACCGATAGGCATGTCTCGTCATCAAAAGGATGCCTTATATAATATAATTGATGTAAATGCTCACCTACAAGGTCAATTTAGTAATTTGACAGTAGAAGAAATTAAAGCTATGGATAAACTATTTGAATTAACTGAAATTACTCCGTACGATAAACTTTTATTAGATGAAATAGAACGTGGAATTAGTCAACCAGGTACTGAATACCTGAAAGATCTTTACAAGGATAAAATGAAGCATAAGCTAAATGCTTACAAAGAAGAAAGCGGCAGACTTAGCGTAGCATTCTCTAATTCAAAAAGCGGTAAACTCAATATACAACGATACATATTTCATAATCAATTCTCTAAAAATCCGAATAAATCATTACAAAACGGTCAAGGTGATAAACCATTTAGTGAGAATACATGTTTGCCTACAATATCAAAATATGAAAAGTTAAGCTCAAGAATAAACTGGCCAGGTGGTTGGCCTGAGATGTATAAACTTCCACTTGGTAAAGGTAATGTAATGCGGTTGTACATTTTAGGCCCACGTGATGCTCAACATATTGAAATTTCCAGAGTAATGGAATGGATACCCGTAACACAGATCATATTAAGTTCAGTAAATACTGCTTTTCGTGAACAAGTTCGTCTGAGAAAAGAGAAAGAACTTCACGGTATACCACCGTCTTTTGAAGGTCGACCATTACGTCTATTAAAGGGGTGGGGAGCAGCGCAAAATTTAAATCGATTTGGTGTTGCAGCTAAAAGTGAAACATTTATTAAAGTACCACTTAAAGATATATCTAAACTGGATCCAGGTCATATTCAATTGAAGCAGTCTACAACAACCCTACAAAATCTTGAAATGGCAGCTGATTTGTTCGACTATGCAATAGATAATTGTAAACTGTACTTAATAAGTTACTCATATGATGATATAAACCTAAAGAAGGATAAATTTCCAACACTTGATGGTCCTCTTGTACTAAGAACACTTTTAATACGCTACGAGAAATTATGCTGGACATTTATTAAATTGATGACAATTAGTGAAACTATTGATAATGATTTAGTTTATACAAAAAGTAATCATTATACTGAACGTTTACACGAAGACTGTGAACATCACTATCCAAAATTACGTCCAAGAAATCCGATGTTAGATCCAAAATATCCATATGCCCGAGAACCATCAGTGTATTCAGTCTCGTCTATAGGATGATAATGATGACTGTAGCACAGTTCATGAAGACAGTGAAAGATATTACTTTATGAACAAAATAATTTAAAAAATTTAGCTTTATGAAAAGTTATTATTAAAATTTAAAAGAATTTCTTTCTTTGTCTGTTTTAAAAGACACATCTTAAAGGTTACCATTAGAAACAAAAATTTGACGGGAAACAAGAGGGATTCTGAAAGAGAAATTTATGTCACTCAGTCTTATTTTTGCTTTCGAAATAAAAAGCGTTATATATGAAATTTTCATATTTTGTCTTTAACCTTAATGTTTACATTTCAGAGTGATTAACAGAAGATGAGGTCAGATAAACGTGAATACGTCGAAATAAGTTTATGAATGCTAATAGTTCCGCCGATCTGAGCGCCTGTGCTTACACCACCTTAGGGAATACACCATGTTACGGCAGAAGACAAGGGTCAGACAACAAATCGTATATTGAGAAAATCAAGAGATATTTATAGATTTTTATGTGCATTATTATTAGCGCTATTGTTAACGGAGAGGCACCCTCTTCTAATTGGTTGTTCTCTCGCTAAAGGTTATTCTATTATCTCTTTGTGGCCGTTTCTTAGAAAACCAAGCCATATATCTGCGAATCATATTTCTACACGTTAACTCGGCTGTGACTGACTGTAGATTTTCTCAAGGTTAAGCTCTGTTCTTGTTTTTCTCATGACCCTGATTCTGAAGGTAAACACTGACGTAAATTGTTGTCTATAACGTTGGCTTGTAGCCAGCTGTCACCAAAACTACAGTCCAAAATGTAAGTTTACCCATTCTCTGGTCACCTCCAAGTGTATTTGTAAATTCACGCACACTTAATAAAGAAAAAAGATAAGCCTATTCCAAAGAATCAGATTTTGATAAATTTGCAGCCAGTGATTCAAACTATGGACATAACTACAGTCTTCATAGTAATCCATAAAACAAAAGCGGCAACCCTAAAGAATAGCAGCCCAAACCGAAACGACCTAGCGAAAGGACAAATGACTCTGTTTTATCCAAACGTACTTATGGGCGCTGTACACCTTTTCCGTTGCGAATTCGCTCCAGATCTTGTTCTGATTACTGTTGGGAGAACGGACTGATAGGAAGGTCGAAAAATTACCAATGTGGAGGTGTCATTCATATGCAAAGATACAATAGGTGCATCGATGGGTTTATCTGTCGGTGAAATGAGTGCCGATTCAGAAAATCAGTTTGAGAACGTATGTCGTTCGTTTTTAATTTACAGATTCCTTAGGTACTTTTGATAAAAAGAAAATATAATCGAGGGAGATTGAGTGTGAATCAGCAATAGGTATTGGGGATATATGACACCAGCGTCCAGAAAAGATTTATTGATGCGATCCCTAATCGCAGTGCAGGTGTATTATTGCCTATTATCCAGCGCTTAGTGCTGCCTTGGACGACTATTTATACAGATGAATCGAGTAGTTACAGTCAGTTATCGAATCTGGGCTATATTCATCAAGTACTTGATGACCACGTGGTCAACCATACAAATGGTTTTCTCAATCCATGTGATGGAACTCATACTAATTTCATTGAAAGTTTCTGGACTCTTCTAAAAAAACGTATCAGATCTGTAAATGGATCAAGAAATGTCAAAAAAGACTGTTCTTCACACGAAAATAGGCTGTATTGATATCCTGAGACATGAAGTCTTCATTGAATGATACTATGCCGAAAGGTGCAGCTTCTACATGGAGTAAACGATTTGTGTAAATCGCATTACCCTCTAACTATCCTATCTGCCTTATTACACCGGTATTTTGATACAGTCCGTCCGAAACACTAATCATTGCAACCAATATGCTAAAAGTGTGTCGCAGTCAGATCACATGACGCGGACACCAACATAACTAGCAAAAAATGCGAATATTCCTCAATCTAGATAACATACAACACAATTTTATTAAGAATTATTGGCAAAAAAATTTCCAAGCTGAATTCAACAGTACGTGATAAATAAGTCCAGCCTTGAACAGATTATCCTAGCTCTATGAGCCAGACGCTCTATGAAGTTAAGTTAACCTTTCAAATGAGCGTAAAAATGAGCGTACTAACCTGTTGTTGTAGGTTTCATATACACACTTCTTCTCAATGTACCATCTTCCTTCCTGCACAGGAGGACATCTAGAAGTGCGATACTGTCGTTAACTTTTCTCTCTATGATGGAGTTAATTTCTGAATACGCATCATTTAACCTGTTGAGGATATTCACTGCTTTAATCTTGCCTTCCATAATCAGAAATGCATGATACACGTGTCGATAGTAGAACTCCAACTCGTTAAATATTCCTTTCAATGGTCCATTCTATTACTTAGCGGGGAAAATATCAGCTAGGATTGAATCTAATGGGGAACCCATATCCACGTCACCAGTTTGTCTGTAACATCCTTTAGTGAATCGGAAGTGAACATTCAGTGTACATCTCAAAATAGGTTCCTCCAAGGTGGATAGAGAAATCCTAATATCTATGTTTCGCGTAGTAATCTCCCCACATATTAAATCCACTGTCTCCATTAACCGTACATTGGTGAACAAGGAGGATACATCAAAAGATATCACAAACTTGTTATTCACATTTAGATCTCTTATTTTTTCGACAAATTCAGAACTATCTTTTACACTGTGTTTTGCTGATTCGTTACGCATGGGGCCTGTGAAGCTTAGAAACCATTCTGCTACTGAGTGATATGTGGAATTACACATACCCAGCACTAGCCGAAGTGGCACACCCTTTTTATGCGTTTTTGTAGTCTATATAATTTCGGTGTACCCTTGCCAGTAGGCTTCAGGGACCCACATAAACGAAATCAACTTGAACATACGCTTATTCCTTTATTAATCTTCATTCTTCCAAAATTATGCATCACGCAATCCACGTGCTGTAACCGTTTCTACCTTTCACTTGTGTGTATTAATTTTCTTCGTTAATGATCACTCCATTGACATGTTTATACTGACTAATTACTGCTTACAAATATATGACCACTTGATTGGTAAATTGTCGTATATTGTAATAAAAATACTATGGATATATATTAGAGTATAGCTAGAGATGAGGATCTAATTGAAAAGTAAAAATTTCTTCGCACGGTCCTTTTGCTTTCAAAATAAAAAAATTAAGTGGTCTATATTGGGCGGTTTCGTGCTGACCAGTGAGATGATTTACGTCTAGGTGACACTCATATGGACGACGCGTAGAAACTTCCAATAAAGCAAATGTACAGGAGAACTTGTCTCCTGTGAATATAACAGATTAGGGAGTTCATGAGGAGTACCATCTAGAGCGATCATAGCTCACACCGATTACAGTCCGTTCTTAGCGCCTAGAGATCCACACGCTAGCATTTAGAAATTCCTTATGTAACTCAAAGCAACATTCATAGTCTTCTATGTATGATGCCATGCTCTGTTCTGATCATTCTGAAAGTTTCTTAAGCCCAAGCGTAAGTTAGACAACGTTACTTGTGGAAGAAGGCGGTGACTCGGCTACAAAGTGCATACGTTCTTTAATCAACATCCAGTTATAATAATAATGAAAGTAAAGACAGTATGTGAACATATATTACAGAAATTTTCAGCATACTTCGTTCCACAATACTTCCTCTTCATATAAAATTTGCATGTAGATCAATATTCGTCAAGTCAAACTTTAGGCACCAGTAAGTACCAATTGAGTGTGGCCGCACCACTGACGTAGAAACGCTCAGTGAGTGGGTTTGTAAAGCCTGGAAGACAATGTTCTAATCCTGGTAACAAGTCAAATAGCTAAGGTCGACTAGGGTCACATGCATTAATACACATACACTGAAATTTAATAAAAACAGAAACACAGGGTTCTACATGTGGACACAGACAGTTCTCTTTACTTAAGATGCCTAGCCTCCACACGGTATTCAGTGAGTATGTGATTAACACACCCTCGTCTAGGCGTAATTTCTGATTTTGACGGTTTTATGTTGCTTAAGTATTGCTTTGTGATTGCGGTGGCTGATAGTCAGATCGCCGTTCATTATATTCAGAGTCCGTCAGAATCAATTTTAATGTGTCTGTTAGTTACACTAAGCTGCGGATACCCATTTGCCACTCCAGCATATGTAGGATGGATATTATGCCAGGTCTTCTCATAATCCTTACAGGTGGCGGATAATTTTCTGGACAAAGTTGTAAACGACAGTCACCCTCATCAGCTCATCGGTACATCTCCACACATATCACTGATTTACTTTTCTGACTTTTGTGCTTGAAAATTGAAATGGCCCACTGTACTAATTATGCATGTTTTTTTAGAGAAAAACAAGATGGTTGATGATAGGACACGAAGAGATATTAAGAGTCAGCGCTTTCCATGTAATCTGTTAATCAGACATCCAATCAAAAAAGTAGATTTAAGGTCACAGGACTGGAGCATTATTGGCTCATTCTGTCCATTCAAATAGTCTATTTTATGTGTCAAATTGATGGTTTATTATTCATGTGAAATAACTATATAACTGGCCGTAATTCCTGGTCATATGGACTCTTCTATGGAGCTATAAAACTCTGTTTTCTCAGTAGGTCTCTCAAGCCCTTATATTTATGGTAGTAGGTTCAAGTGGTCAGACATATATGATTTTGTGCTGAAGAAACAGCGGACTCCAACCTATCATTGCCTTCGAACACTACAGCTTCCTACGGACGTCGTCCTTTACTTTGCTTAAATACAAATTAATGTGCCTTGGATGAGAATTACGAAGATGCATCGAGAGTTACCTCAGTCTCTCTTGCTCTTGGGGTTTTGTCCGTATGAAAGTCTTACTACAGATTGTGAACCACCATGTCTTAAATCGAAGTGTGGGATTTCCCAGGTCATGACTTTCTAACCCCATTCTTAAGGTGGAGAGTCAGCTGTTGATCCAAGTGAAACGATTTACCGCCGTTACATGTTTACTCATCAACAGTGTGTCAGCCATGTGCACTAAGTTGGCA